TGACTGTAGGGGAGCCTGTAGTACAATATCCAGATGGCCTCATTTGACGACCCTTTACAACATCCTCCCTCATTTCTGCAGTGATGGTTTCCTTTATCAATAATGGAATAACCCCACCTCTTTCACTTATACCCCATCCTACCTGAACTATCTACACTTTGGAATGTTAAGCTGCCAGTCCTGTCCTTCCTACAACAACATGTCAGCGACTGCCACAATATCATATTCCTACGTGCTGTTCAATGCTCCAAGTTCATCCACTTTATCAGTCAAGTATCTTGCATCAAAATAGATACAATTTAGCTTTCTGGACCTCCCACGTACCTTTCCTGTCCATGTCTTCTCCAATTACTGAACTGTCCTTGGTACCGACATTCACCATGACTGCTGGCTGTTCACTTGGCACTAGGATGGCACCATATCATTTGAGAGTCTTGTTTGCTGCCACAGAACAGCCTGTCAGTTCCCCTCACAAGTGAGTTCCCATCACTAAAGCTCTCCCAGTCTTTCTTCCCCCATGCTGTGCAGCAGAGCCAACCATGGTGCCAAAAACATTAAGATGTGCCATGCCAGTAAAAGTCCACTTACACTAGAACTGACAAGCTTTTATGATAAATTTAGTGGCAATCTAGTGGCTAGCAGACTCATTCTGTCAATCAATGCATAATTCTTGAGCTAGATGCCAGTTAAGTGAACCATCCATGGAGGCAAGGCATACCAGATATTAATTTTCACTCTTAACTACACATGCACAGTCACCATAAGTGCACATTCAAATCAAGCTTTAACAACAGCGAATGCCAAACCTCTACATCATTATCAATGAATACTGCCTATTGTTGTTAATTGTTAATGAAATCTAAACTGCAAAACAAGTGAAAAATACGTCAAATTTGACACAACTTCTGTTTGGTTTGGTGAAAAAATATATATTTATCCTGCACCTTTGAAGATTTCAAGGGATCTCAAAGTGTTTCCAGCCAATGTTGACTTTCTTTAAAATGCAGTAACTTTGTTATATAGGAAACAGAGTGGTCAATTTATGGACAGCAAGGCCCCATGACAACACTGAGATTAATAACCAGATTATCTCCTTTAGGTGTTAGTAGAGGGATAAGTGCGGGCCCAAAGTTTTTTGGGGGGCAAGCTCCCTGTCCCTCTTCAAAATAATATTATGTGATCTACTATTTCCACATGGGAGGGTAGGTGGAACCTCAATTTAATATCCCATTAAAAAGACAACTCCAACACTGTAGCATGCCCCCAGCATTTGACTGATAATCTAGATGGTGCTTTTATGTCCCTGTTTTATGCCTTGAACCTATGCCCTTCTGATGTAACAGTTGAAAAGAACAATTCTCTAAAAATCAAAATGACTTTAGTCAGAACATTCGCATGATACTTGTTGAAAAAAGCTTAGTGAAAGGAAATTAAAGGCAGTAATATGGAAGTCACTATGACCTTCTCAGTGAGAAATCCCATGACACCAGGTTATAGTCCAACAGGTTTATTTGAAATCACAACTTTTAGAAGCACTGCTCCTTCATCAGGTGAAGTGGAGGGAAGCACACAGGGACAGAATTTATAGGCAGAGAGATCATTGCAAGATAATTCTAGGTAATTAAGAGTGTCAAAGAATAGTACAAATGGTATGGGTGGAATGTCGACAGGCTTCTGAATAATAAGTCTTTGCAGGTGTTCAAAAGTGTCAAACAGTTTGAGCAAAGTGTCAACAGCTGAATAGCAAGTGAAGAGATGATCTATGATTCGACTAATTAAAGCAGAGAGATAGTTACAAACCATCGAAAATGATATGGTGCTAGAGTCAAACCAAATGTTTGAAACAACATGATAGGTAGAAGAGTTGCATACCAAGGGTCTAACCAAAATAACAAGTAATCCAAAACAGTACAAACTAATTAAGGTAGAGAGATCATAATAAGTTATCAAGGTGATGGTGTCAAAACAGGACAGTATGGAAGAGTTGACAAACACAGAACAGTACGATAGGGTTACATGTAGCCCTGCATATACAGAGGATCTGTTTAGATGAGGAGGAATGTGATGGACACCTACAGACGCTGAAAGACGCCCTCATAAGAATGGGATACAATGCTCAACTCACCAATCGCCAATTCCAACGTGCCACAGTGAAGAACAGTAACAACGTCCTCAGAAAACAGACACAGGACACGACTATAGAATACCCTTTGTCATTCAGTACTTTCCCGGAGCAGAGTAACTACGCCATGTTCTTTGCAGCCTTCAACATATCATTGATGACTATGAATATCTTGCCACAGCCATCCCTACACCTCCATTTCTCGCCTTCAAACCACTGTAAAACCTCAAGTAGTCCATCCTTCACAGCAAACTACCCAGCAGAACATCAACCATAACACCCCACAACCCTGCCACGACAACCTCTGCAAGACATGTCAGATATTCAACATGAATATTACAATCACATGTGGGAACACTGCCCCGCACATACACAGTAGGTACACATGTGACTTGGCAAATGTTGTCTACCTGATATGTTGCAGGCAAGGATGTCAAGGGGCATGGTATATCGGCGAGACCATGCAGACGCTACAGCAACAGATTAATGGACACTGTGCAACAATTTCCAGGCAGGCATGCTCCCTCCCAGTCAGGGAACACTTAAGCAGTCAAGGACATTCAGCCTCCAATCTTCGGGTGAGCATCCTCAAAGGCAGCCTTTGAGATACACAACAACTCAGAATTGACAAGCAGAAGCTGACAGCCAAGTTCCGTACCCAGGAAGACAGCCTCAACCGTGATCTTGGGTTCATGTCATGCCACATGTAACCCCACCATACTGTTCCGTATTTGTAAAATCTTCCTTGTTGTTCTGTTTTGAAACCATCACCTTGATTACCTGTTATGATCTCTCTACCTTAATTGTCCCTATCATGTTATTCCAGCCATTTGGTTTGTCTCTAGCACCGTATTATTTTTGATGTTTTGTAACTGTCTCTCTGCCTTAATTAATCGAATCATAGGTCATCTCTTCACTTGCTATTCAGCTGTTGACACTTTGCTCACACCTTTTGATGCTTTTGATCACCTGCAAAGACTTGTTATTCAGCCTGTCAACACTCCATTTACACCACTTGTACTTTCTTTTGACACTTTTAATTACCTAGAATTATCTTGCAATGATCTCTCCACCTATAAATTCTGTCCTTGTGTGCTTCCCTCTACTTCACCTGACGAAGCAGCAGTGCTCAAAACGCTTGTGATTTCAAATAAATCTGTTGGACTATAACCCGGTGTTGTGTGACTTCTGATTTTGTCACTCCCAGTTCAATATCAGCACCTCCACTTCTTTGTGAGGAAGGCTCCCCAGTCACTTGGGTAAATATCTAAACAGCTATTTGCAATGATGGGAAATCCTGTTCATTCTCTTGGGTCAAGAAGCTCATCACATTCATACATCTAATCAACAGGTGATAAATTTATTTTTTCCTATTCATTTCTGGGATGAGGGAGTCACTGGCTGGCCAGAATTTATTGCCCATCCCTAGTTGCCCTTGAGAAATTGTGGTGAGCTGTCTTCTTGAACCGCTGCAGTCCTCCTGCTGTACATTGACCCAAAAATGCTATTAGGTAGGGAATTCCAGGATTTTGACCCAGTGACTGTGAAGGAATGGCGATATATTTCCAAGTCAGGATGGTGAGTGACTTGGAGGGGAACTTGGAGGTGGTGGTGTTCCCATGTATCTGCTGCCCTTGTCCTTCCAGATGGAAGTGGTCATGGGTGTGGAAGGTGCTGTCTGAGGATCTTTGGTGAATTTCTGCAGTGCATCTTGTAGATAGTACACACAGCTGCTACTGAGTGTCGTTGGGGGACGGAGTGGATACTTGTGGATGTGGTGCCAATCAAGTGGGCTGCTTTGTCCTGGATGGTGTCAAGCTTCTTGAGTGTTGTTGGGGCTGTACTCATCGAGACAAGTGGGAGTATTCCATCACACTCCTGACTTGTGCCTTGTAGATGGTGGATAGGCTTTGGGGAGTCAGGAGATGAGTTACTTGCTGCAGTATTCCTAGCCTTTGACCTATTCTTGTAGCCACTGTGTATATGTGGTGAGTCCAGCTGAGCTTCTGGTCAATGATAACTCCCAGGATGTTGATAGTGGGGGATTCAGTGATGGTAACACCATTGAATGTCAAGGGGTGGTGGTTAGATTGTCTCTTATTGGTGATGGTCACAGCCTGGTATTTGTGTGGCACGAATGTCACTTGTCACCCCAAGCCTGGATATTGTCCAGATCTTGTTGCATTTGAACATGGACTGCTTCAGTATCTGAGGAGTCATGAATGGTGCTGAACATTGCGCAATCATCGGCATACATCCCCACTTCTGAAATTATGATGAAGGGAAGGTCATTGATGAAGCAGCTGAAGATGGTTCGGTCCAGGACACTACCCTGAGGAACTCCTGCAGAGATGTCCTGGAGCTGAGATGATTGACCTCCAACAACCACGACCACCTCCCTGTGTGTCAGGTATGACTCCAACCACTGGAAAGTTTGCCCCCTGATACCCATTGATTCCAGTTTTACTAGGGCTCCGTGATGCCACACTCAGTTGATAGCAGCCTTGATATCAAGGGCTGTCACTCTCACCTCACCTCTGGCATTCAGCTCTTTAGTCCATGTTTGAACCAAGGCTGTCATGAGGTCAGGAGCTGAGTGGCCCTGGCGGAACTCAAACTGGGTGTCACTGAGCAGGTTATTTCTGAGCAGGTGTTGTGTGATAGCACTGTTGATGACACTTTCCATCACTTTACTGATAAATGCCAGAATAGTAAATTCTTAAGCATTAACTCCCAGAAATTGGGATGTTCATGCAAATAAAGCTGCTTCAATGTCATGTTTCTAATTTCAGTACTATGTACCCAAAATCGTGCACAGTAAATTAATTGAAACTTTTTTTTAAAAAAGAGCTGCACAGCAATCTTCCATTAAGCCTACCATAAATCATGTCTGTTGTACTCTCAGCTTTTGCTCCTTCTGGGAATTCCATCTCTTCTTCAAAGTCTTCCTCCTCTACAATTTGTATGGTTTCTGGTCCCCCTACACTTGCACTGCAAAAGAACCATAACTGAAATTATTTGCATATAAATCAATGAAAATGTATTGAAAATTTATTGAAAATATAATCAAGTGTGATCAAAAAGGTGTTGCCTATGAAAACATACGCTCCTTCTAAAGATTGTGGTGTTTCTTCTGGCCTAGATCGAACTAATGCTGCTCTCTGACATTCTCTCTGCAAAGCTGGATATGGGTACCTGTTGATTCTAACTGTAAAATATAAGTTGTAATTAAATCACAATGTTCCACACATTTCAAAGTTGCCAATAATTATTTCTGCATGCCTCAAGAACTAACAGTAATAATTTCATAAGTTCACTAAATTTAATTCAGTAATTTATTTTTCAGTTTTCATATGCAATGGAATTTATCAGTGCCATATCTATCTTGAATTAATTTAAATAGCACTTTTCACAACCTTAGGAAATAGCTATACATAATACAGCTGAGGTATTCTGAAGTGACCTACCATTGTAATGTCAGAAACACAAATTTGCCGACAGTGAGATCCTCAAACAGCAATATAACAACAAAAACATTAGTAGTATTTGTTGATGGATTAATGCTGGCCAGGACACCAGGACACCAAAATAGTACCCTGGGATATTTTTCAACCCAGGGTGTGGTTTAAATTTGTATTCTAAAAACATTACTTCCAACAATATAACACTCGCCCTGTAAGTAAATCTCTGGAGCAGGACTTAAAGTATTCAGACTCAAGGCGTGTTTCCTACCAACTGAGCCATTACTGGTACAATACAGTCAGCAGAATGTTGCGCTCCTCAGTTCTTTTAACAGATGGTCTCTATGGTGGGTTTAAAGATAAATATAAAATCTGCAACATTCAGCAGGTTATATAGTTAAAAATAACAACATTTTGGTGCATCCTGAAGTCATGAAAGGCACTTCATTATTGCAAGCTTTTTTTCAAAAAATCTACATTATGTTAGAAAACCAGCCTCTGGAGAATATTCTCTGTAAAGGATTTACACACAGTAGTTTTTCTCATATATTGCTACTTTTTAAATCAAGCATAACTTACGTGTGAGACTTTTCAGAAAGGCTCGTGCAAACCTTTGGACATATGTCATTTCATGATTCAATATATGATCCAGGTGAACTAAATGTTGATCAGAAGGAGCACTCACAAGCTCCTGCAGATTGGTTCTGGTGACATCCTTTCCAAGGAAGAATGCGAAGATCACAAAACCTTTACACTTAGCTTGTAATGACACAGCCCTTAGCTTCTCTGTGTCAAAGGCATTGGTTTCTCCTGCAAGTATTAAAAATATCACTTTATGTCGTCGTGGATTTGGAGCGCTTAAGAAAACGTTATTGAGGGTCCATTCAATAGCATGGCCAGTCCATGAAGAGCCTTCTAACTTTTTAAAGGAATTCTCTATATGTCTCTTCATCAAGCTTTTGGTGCCATAGCTCAAGAAGCCAAACTCCAGGTTGACTGGCATCTGGCCAGATCTGGGCAGGTAACCTGGTGGCGAATACTGCACGAGGGCTACCCTGGCACGATTATCCGAGGTCTTCGGGCTTCTTGAGATTATAAACGTGTCAAGCATTGAGCTGAGGAAGTCCTTTATTCTCTCAAAGTCCATCATTTTCAGATTGCGTGAGCCATCAACAACAAAAGCTACGTCCATGTTGATTGGGATTGGAGATGGAGAGATGGCCTGTTGGCACTGGGCATTTGGTTCACATGTGTCTGTGAAGAAATATTAAAGCCTAAAGTTGAACTGCTGTAAATGTAGATTACTATTTTCAAGAAATCCACTATGTAGTATGTACCTTTATTTTCATGTATAACTATAGCCATTTTGCTATTGCTTCATTTTAACTATGCAGAGCAATTCCACTTCCTTAAGTTCTGATCTACAATATTAAGTGAATATGGTTAAAATACATACCAAAACAGAAAGTACATAACCGGACTTTGCGTAACTGTTCTTGTGCTTCTTGCCGTTGTCTTGACAGCACAACCACCTGAAACATTCTTGTTTCGTCAATCTTTTTTCAGAGGAAAGGGAAGGAAATTTCCAAATTCAGTTAGAAAGACTTGATAACTTTTCAAAATGCTGTGAATATTCAGGTGCCCAGCTTAGCTAGATTAGAAGCCAGTGGTGACCATCCAATGGGTCAATTAATCAAATGGGTCATTTCAGGAAGGGTGAATCATTAGATTTTCCTTTCTAAGAAGTGCAGGCAGAAATGTCAGATGCATAATGTAATTACATTACATTCGAATATGGAATTGTCTAATTCTTTTTTCAACAAGAGTATAAATATTTGTTTTCTCCACTTCCACGGGAATAATGTGTAATATACTATAATATATTATATAACGTGTGTAATATATAAATCACATTCCAGTTTTTGCATTAGTGGCAACATTGCAGCTGTTGTATGAAAATGACTGCTTGCATTTGTAGGATAACTTGAACAGTCCATCTCAAGATGTCGTAAAGCATTTTACAGCTATAAAGGTACTTCCAGAATCTATTCAATTATATCATGAAGGAAACATGGAAGCCAACGTACACATAGGAAGGTTACACAAAATGAGCAGATGCTGTTTTTAGTAGTTTTGTTTATGCAACATTGAGGTTGTTGACTTGCTCGCTGAGCTGGCTTGTTTTCGTGCAGACATTTCGTCACCATGCTAGGTAACATCATCAGTGAGGCCTCCGATGAAGCGATATTGTTCAACTCCACTTGGAATTTATACTGTCAGGTCTGTTATGGTAAGAAGTGTCATTTCCGGTTTTGCTCTGTGTGGGTTTGTATATGGGGTCCAATTCTATACGTTTGTTGATTGCATTATAGGTTGAGAACCATACCTCTAGGGATTCCCATGAGTCTCTATGTTTGGCCAAACATAGAACAGCATCGCTTCATCGGAGGCCTCACTGATGATGTTACCTAGCATGGTGATGAAATGTCTGAACAAAAACAAGCTAGCTCGGTGAGCAAGTTAACATCCTGATTCGCCACTCGAGCTACAAATCTCTGCTAAAACCTTTGAGAAATATTGTCCAGGACATATACGAACATATGAAGTAGGAGCAAGAATACAGTCATCAGCCCTTTGAATCTACTCTGCTGTTTGTTAAGAACATGGTTGATCTGATTGTGGGTCCACTCTGCTTTCCCATTTACCTCCTCTTCCTCTTTAAAACCTTGTCAATTGTTGACTTATCTAACTTAGCCTTAAAAATATTGAAATGCCCTGCCCCCAGTGTTCCCCAGGAAACAGAATTCTACAGAGCAAAAAAACTCAGAAGAGAAAATTGTCCTCATATTCGTCTTAAATGAGAAGTCCTTTCTTGAAAGCTGTATCCCCTAGATCTAGAAAGAGGAAACATACCCCTGTCAATTCCCCTCAGGATCATAAATGATTCAATAGATCACCTCTCAGTATTCAAAACATATAGACCTAAGCTGTCCAAAAGTTTATAATTGATAAGGAGGAGGCATTGGATAGGCAATTTGCATTAACAGTTGATAAGGAACCAGACTGGATGAGATACATCCAAGGATCCAGAAGGAAGCGGGAGTGGAAATTTCAGAAGCACTTCCACATCTTCGGATTATAAACCCTTCCAGCAACAGAATTTGCTCCTCCTTCACCATGACTTGGGTAATGTCGCCTTCCCCGTTAGAGACACTTTTTCACTTATATACCGACAGAAAAATTTGGGATTCCCTCTTATGTTATCTGCCAGTCTCATTTCATACCCCATGTTGTTTCACTTTGCTCTTTTAACACCACCCCTCTGAATCTTCTTTATTCGGCCTGATTTTTAATTGTATTTTCTAACTAACTTTTGTCATAAGCACACTTTTTCTTTTATCAAAGTTTTTCAAATTTTCTTATTCTCAGAAATGTTGACAGAGAGCTAGAAATTTTCAAACAGTATTACCCTTGTTCAAAACATGGTGTAAGAGTAAGCAAAGCAACTACGGAGAAGTCAATTTCACTTTGAAAGTTGGGAAACTTCTAGAAATAGTAATTATGGGCAAAATTAACAGTCACATGGACAAGTCTGGGTTAATTAAGGACAGCTTGCATGGTTTTCTAAAAGGAAAATGATGTTTAGCTAAGCTGTTGGCATTTTTGAAGAGGTAACAGAGAGGGTTGAACTGGGCAATGCTGTTGATCTGGCACAGATGGACTTCTGGAAGGCATTTCTTACAATGGCACTCAGCAGACCTGAGAGCTAAGCTAAACATCATGGTTGGTATAAAAGGGACAGTAGCAACATGGAGACAAAATTGGCTGTGTAACAGGAATCAAAGAGCAATGGTTAACGGATATTCTCCACGGTGGGCAAAGGTTAGTATGGGAATTCACTGGGAGTCAGTGCTAGAATCCTTATTTTGCCTGATAAATGTTAATGACCTAGATGTTGTTATACAGGGTACAACTCCAAAATTTGATAAGAAATTTAGAAGCATTGTAAACTGTGAGGAGAACAGTGTAGAACTTCAGAAAGACATTAAAAAAGTGGAATAAAAACAGCATCATCAGAATGTGGTGAAGACGGATCACTGGACCCGAAATGTAACTCTGCTCTCTCCCTACAGATGCTGCCAGACCTGCTGAGTTTCTCCAGCAATTTCTGCTTTTGTTTTGGACTCCCAGCATCCACAGTTCTTTGTTTAATCATAGTCAGATAGAGTCGGCAGATGAATTTCAATACAGACAAGTGTGAGGTGATACACTTTGATAAAAATATAGAGAGAAAATTTAAAAGGGCAAAATTCAAAATGGGGTGCAAGAACTAAAGGACCTAGGTATACATGCACTTATGTCATTAAAGAATATAGCACATGGTGAGAAAGCAATTAATAAAATATACATTATCCTAAGCTTTATTAGTAGAGGCATTGAATACAAGTGTAAAGGGGTTATGTAGAATGTGTATAAGAACTTAGTCTGGCTACAGCTGGAGAATTGTATCCAGTTCTGGGTTCCCACTTTAGGAAGGAATTGAACACATTGGAGACAGGGTCATGACAATGATTCCAGGCATAACTTCAATTAAGATGATTCATTGCAAAAGCTAGGGCTGTTTTCCTTGTAGAAAAGAAGACTGAGACAAGGTCTGATTGAAGTATTTATAATCAGGAGACATCTAGATAGGGTAAACAGGGGGAAAATATTCCAACTCATGAAATGATTGACAACAAGAGAGCATAGATTTAAAGTAATTGATAAAAGAAGCAAAAGTGATAGAGGAAAACATTTTTCATACAATGACTAGTTAAAGTGGAGTGTACTGCCTGAGAGTGGTGGACACATGTTCAATCAAGGCATGCAAGTGAGAAATAGATGATAATCTGCAAAGGGTCAATGTGCTGACAACAGGAAAATGGTACTTAGTCACAGGTTCATTCAGAGAGCTGGCTTGGACACAATGGATGGAATGGTTTCCTATAACAAATTGGTGATTTGGTGAGCGAACACAAAGAATCTAAGAATTTAATTAACCTTTACTTGCATAAGGGCACCTCAAGACAGCATGCTGTCCCTTTCCTGCTGGACTGCTCTGTGCAGTGAGTCATACCCTACAGCCTAAATAATGCACTGAGTCGCACAGCTTTCAATGGGCCCTTCAGCCCATGTTTAAAAATGGATCTGCTCCAGGACAAATGAATTTCTCTCCTTCATTGAAATAACAGAACAATCCAAATGAGAAAGTTTCTTAGGGAAAAAGTCCAAAGTTGAAAATCAAATTACCCTTGTAAGCCTAAGTGTTATTGATGAACTATCCTACCCATTTAGATATACATTTTTGTATTTTAACTGGCGGAAAGTATCAACGTACTAGTCAATTTCCTGTTGTATTATACCAAGGGACTTGACCAATGTAGTTTTCAGGTGAAGCAGGTGATAAATGAACATGAAGTTTAATTCTTTTAGTCATTATGTCAACATCATAGAGCACATTCTTTCCCTTAACTGGAGGAGGCCAGGAAAGTCATGAGAAGGGCGAATAATTGGATATGTTGGCCCTGGAGTGATATTCTTCTCCTTTTCACCACCATAGCAATGATGTACTGAGTGAGAGGTTTTAGTGGAGTCCCTCTCAACACGCTCCAAGCCCTAAAGTGGTCAATTAAGAGCCACTACTAGGAAACCAGGATGACCTACCTATCAGAGATAGCAAGAACTGCAGATGCTGGAGTCAAAGTCAATACAGTATGGAGCTGGAAGAACACAGCAAGCCAGGGGGCATTAGAGGAGCAGGCAAGTCGCCGTTTCAGGTTTACACCCTTCATCAGGGTGTATTGACCTACCTGCCTGGTTTGGGAAGACGCTTGCAGTTGCCTCAGTCTGGGGCTATTTGGGGCAGGGTTGGGGAAAGGTAATGGCTACTGATTACTGACCCCTTGCTACTCTCGCCCAATGACACCCACCTCATGAGACACAAAATAAAAGGCTCTACACCTTCTCCTTGATCTCCTTATGTCCAAGCTCCAGGAATAATCTCTAGGATGCAGAAGCTGCTGGCCTTTGACTGGCTGACAGATTGTTCAAGGTGGGATTCAACATTTAAAAGATATTTGGATAAGTACAACAATAGGAAAAGTCTGGAGGGATATGGGCCAGGAGCAAGCAGGTGGGACTAGTTTAGTTTGCGATTATGGTCAGCATGGACTGGTTGGACCAAAGGGTCTGTTTTCAAGCTGCATGACTCTATAACTCCATGTGGATCTGTGACTTATTGAGAAGATCAGCAGTCAGCTCTTAACAAGCTGATCGCAGCTCAGTTCAGCAAGTTTTCTCATTGTCAGTCATTACTGAACATGCTCGCCAAAACCCACCCTTCCCCTCCCCACCCACATTTAGGCAAGAATGTGGAAAATCTCAGCCTTAAGAACTTATCAACAGTTTTATAATGTTATAAGTTGCTATATCCCACTTTATATTGAAACTGCCTATGTAAATGTGTCATGCTGTGATTATACGTCGCCACCTATTGTGGTGCTGTAGAACCTCCGCTAGCAGTTGGACATGACTACAACATGAGGTTCATATTGCTAATGTGGATATAGAAATTCACAACAAGGTAAGCTGACAGAAGTGCATATAAGTGAAATGTTTCAAATGTAATCATGCAGCTAAGTCTCCTACCTCAAAGGCACGCTGAATTTCGGGGACATTAGCAAAAGAAATGACAACTGGTGTGATATCCAAGGCACTGAACTCCAAAGCAGCAGTCGTAACCTCTGATATTTCACGAGATGGACCGTTAGTAATAAATATTGCCACTTTTCTGCCTAGAACACCATGGCGGACACGCTTGAAAGTATTTTTTGCAGCAAACCTCATTGCAGTCCCTACATTCCGCCTGCTGTTTGATCTCTCGTAAGCTAGATTCTGTAGTCCTTCTAGAAGCTTTTGCTTGCTTCTGAAGTCTGAGAATCGGATGAATGTTTTTGCCGTGGAACTGTAAGTAAGAATCGCCACACGGGCTCCTGTTGGGCAGTTACTTTCAGTGATTTTAAGATCCTGCACAAAATTAATGACCATAGTCTTCATTCTATTAAATATGGCTTGTGTGACATCTGCAGACATGTCTACAGCGAACACCACCTCAGTGGGATACACAGGGCATTCTGTTCTTCCTGAAATAAAAGGTCAAACAATTAGCAAATAAAAATTAAGATTAAAAAATGGAAAGATTTATGTGACACCTTTCATAACCTCAAGGCTTTACACCCAATTAAATACATTTTTAAGTGTAGTCACTGTTGTAATGTAGGAAGCATGGGAGCCAATTCACACACAGCATGCTCCAACAAATAAGAATGTGAAATTGACCTAATGATTTTTTTTGTGGTACCTGTTGATAAATAATGGTCAGGATACTAGGGAAAACTCTGTTGTCCATCTTGAAATAGGATCATTTGGGGCTTTTCATATGCACCTCTGGGGACATGTAGAGCCTTGGCTTAATGTCTCCCTCACATGATGACACATCTGGCAAAGCAGCATTCCCTCAGTGCTGCACTGAAATGCCAGACTGCATCATGTGCTCTTGTCGCTAGAGTGGGATTTAACAATGCTGCAAATGAGGGACTGCTAATACCTATGAAGTCATGATAAATAATTATAAATGAAGAAAAAGCACTGACCTGATGAACAACAGGCTAAAAGGAGAAAAGAATGAGATAAAATTAATATTTCCTTTAGATTGAGGCACAAAAGCTTAAAAATTATGCATTTATGTTAGAGGTGAATTTTACCAACAATAAGACATGTCACATTGTTTGTTTTTTATCAAAAGGATTGTCTCACTTTATCCAGTACAATGATTCACAGTATAACTCACAAACATTATGTTAATAAGGTAAGCAATAAAACCACTGGATAAAATCTTATCTGTGAGGCATATGCAATGGAATAAACCAAAGGATGTCTTCTAAACCATCAAACACAAAATAAATATTCGGACTTATTGGGAATTTGGTTAACAGGGGACTTCAGTTAGGTCTGGAGAATTTGATCATCAGAGACTTTAGCCGTTTGCAACATTGCTCCTTGGGACATAGGATAATTAGTCAACTGGAAGATTGATTATCTGGGAGTTTGACCATTTACAAGTCTGCTTCTAAGGGATATAAGTCCTTTGAGAAATTGCTTACCGAGGAGATTGGTTACCAGTCCAAATAATGTTTTGTAGTCTCACATTGTTCTGTACATCTACCACGGATCTCATTGTCATGGTTATCAACATGTGCTACAAGAACATATCAAAGCTAATTGTTCTGCCTAAAAACATCGTGACTTAATGATGAAACAAACTACTTACGACATTTTTCTCTAAAATATGTCACAAGTTCACATGGCTGCAAAATAAAAATGGAGAACTGAATATCTAGTCACTAATGTTAAATTCTGTGTTGATATGAAATCTCCATGCGTACAGAAGTAACTTACTTTCATAGGTGTGATCCCCGGTGGCCCTTTGAAACCCTGAAATGACAAAGCAAACGGAAAAATCCTCAGCAGTTCCGCTGATTGCAATTTCACATGGGCAGCTATGATTGAAGAATGCTCAAGTTGGGAGCTCTCATTCAAAGCAAGCTTTTAGATGGAGAGCTAGGTCTAGTTAGTTATACAGTCATTATTTCATTCACAACCCACACAATACATGGTTGATCCTCTATGTACTAAAAACAGTGGCCTGCAATTTAGTAGAGTTGGGATGAGTCAGGAGTCCTTTAAGAATGGCAGATGGAAGCTTCAAATCAAGCAGTATCTCAATTTTAAAACTGTCATCCTTCCTTTTAGATCCATCCAAGATCTTTCTCCTCCCTATCTCTGTAATTTCGCCCAGCCCTTCCGAAATACCTTCACTCCTATCTTAATTTTGGCTTTTTGACCATTAAAATCCTCCAGTTCCACAGGGCCTAAGCTCTGGAATTCGCTCGATTCACCTCTTCTCTGGAGAAAAATTCTTTATAACCTAACTCTTTAACCAAGTTTATCATCATCTGATCGAAAATCTCCTTATGTGGCTCACTGTCATATTTATAGTATTGTGCCTGTGAAGAACCTTGGGATGTATTGTTACATTAAAAGCAATATAAAAATGTTAGCTCAGCAGTTCTGGCAGCATGTGTGGAGAGAAATCAGAGTTAACCGTTCGGATCTAGAGACCCTTCTTCAGAGCTGTTCTGAGTTCTGGACCCAAAACGTTAACTCTGATTTCTCTCCACAGATGCTGCCAGACCGGCTGAGCTTTTCCAGCAATTTCCGTTTTTGTTTCTGATTTCCAGCATCTACAGTTCTTCATTTTTTTACAAATGTAAGTTGTTGCTCTTTCATTGGAATGCATGTTTCCTCTCATGCAGGCTTAACATTATTTGCAGCTCGGAATAAGTTTCGAATCACATCATTGCTCATTAAATGATCACACAGTCCCCAGTAAAATAATTCTCTCCGCTAACAATTGGCAATGTTGGCCACAAGAAGAATTGGTGCTGTTGGATTTATGTTAACTCTCTCACACCGAGATTGCATACATGTTGCTGCTGCCTGTTCACTATGTGAAGATTTCTTAGGTGCTATTTTGTCAAGATAATCTCTCAGAAAGTCAGTCAGTACAATTTCCACATAGCTAAATTTCTATGAATTCAGGTGATTGAAGATGTTTAATAAACGAGTTTATAGATGATTGCTCTGTGGCTATAGCAATCCGATAGAGATCAGTCCTCTCTCTACTCCACTATTAATTTGTTGAATCTATTAATTAGATAACAGAAAACTTTCTCCTGAGGTAATCATAGCAGTTATGACAAGCTTATTTTCCAGCATTTCAAAGTCACTTAAGTTGCATTCGGCTTGCTACGCTCTGTAATTTTACAATGAAATGCTTCAGGGTCATTTATTCTAACATGAAAACATGAATTGGTGATGAATCATCCAAACTGTGATCTTGCTATGGTCAGGTTGAATGTTTGCCCATCCCAGAATAAAATTCTCATTCATTAGAAAGCTCTCCCATGATATTTTTCACATGATTAGTCAGATGTTGCACATGTTGCAATAGAGGTCTCTGTTTGACTAAGATTGTTAAAAGATATGAAATCAAGACAGGCAAAGTGAATTAAGATACAATTTAGCTGTGATCTAATGGAACAGTGGAACATGTTCAAGGAATGAAAGGTTCCAATGTTCCTACTTCGTCATATTTATTAATCTACAGAATCATTAAACACCCCTGTGTCATTTCTGTTCTAACATGCACAGATTTCACTCACATAGTTGTTCCTTTTATCAATAAGCTTCAAACCTTTCTTGTTCCTAAGCTTTGCAAGATGAGCAAAGGAGTGCAGTACTGAAAAGGGGTCTGCCAATCTCGGGAATAGGGACGAGGTTCCGTGAGAGCCGAAGGTGAAGAGTGCAGCAGTCAGAGACCTTGTGTTTAAAGAAATCCGAACTCTAATGCATATATTAAATGCTTTGAGATAAAGGCCAGTGGGAGGTTGCCTCATTGTGGAGGCTTCTCAGTCAGGCAGCTAGATCCAAAGTCACTTAACTTATGAATTCACCAAATCCTCAACTGATCAGTGAAGCTGGTGGGTATCCCAATGCTCTGGAAATCTAGTCAGCAGCAGCTAAAACTGAAAAACTTCACAAGTCTCACAGCGTCGTTATTGTATTTAAAGTGACAACCTTCTAGCTTCAATTTAAGCCAGACCTTGTGGGTCAGAAACAAGTTTAGTTCAGGTCAATTACTCTTCTTACTTTTTATGTCTCTACCCATCCTAAATGCATTTTTTCTTCAGGTTAAAAATTCAGCAGTACATAAATGATAACACTCCAAACAGTTGCTAGAGAATGGGCACCTTACCCCTATTCCTGGAGGTCCTGCTTCTCCCGGATTTCCTCGATCACCAGTAAGGCCAGAGTCTCCCTCAAACAGAAAGGTCAAGCAAAAGTCATTTAAAATACTCAAGGAATCTCATTTTCTTTAAATATTTGGTGGATTTGGATGGCTAATGCAAGCAGGGTTATTTTAAATTCATATATCAAAGAGGCACCTTTCACTGCAGTTCTGCTAAATTTGCCCAACCTTAGGATCTCAAATGGATTTGTTCACAATTTTTGTGAGGTTTAGGGTACTATCATAATGTTGAGCTGCTTAATCTTTTAATGCTTGTCCTTTAGGATCATGGAGTTGAATATGCAACATTCAGGAGATAAAACCTAGAAATGGCTCAGGTCCACCAGAGAGTAAATGCAAATTTTTTTATTCCTTCCCAGAATGCGGCCTTGAGATGACAGTGATAAATGTCTCCTTTGATCATTGCATTTAACGTGGCGCAGATACCCCCACAGTGATGTAAGGTAGAAAGTTACATGATATTGATCTTGCAATGAAGAAGTAAGTATAGTTTAAGTAACTAATAACTTAAAAATATTTCCAAATTAATGTGATTTGTGGCTCAGAGGGGAACTTGCAAGTGATGGTGCTCGCATATGTTTGTTGCCTATGTGCTTCTACATGACAGAAAGTATGGGTTTGGAAGGTGTTGTCAAAGGTGAGTCAGAGCTTTTTTGACATTCTGTAATACATCTTATAGATGATCCACTCTGATAGCACCATTCAGCAGTGACTGAGGAACTGAACATTTATGATATATTGTAACATGTCCAAAGAAGTTGATTTTAAAAAAGGGCAAAATGTGCAATACAATGGGGATGTTTTGCAGTTACTATTTATGAGAATGGATTGTAAAATCTAGATTGTTGTTTTGTTATATTATATTTTATATTCTTGGCCATAACTAGGTAATTCACTCTGCATTGTGATTGACAATATATTACTCTGTTAAGGTAAAGCTGTATCATTTTAAGTGCGCTGCAATTGAGCACTTGGCGTTTACAATCAGCATGGACAGACATATTCTGCCAGAATTGCCTTTTGGAGCAGGGAAGGGTCTAGTTATAGAAGATAGCAAGAACTGCAGATGCTGGAGTCAGAGTCAATACAGTGTGGAGCTGGAGAAACATAGCAGGTCAGGCAGCATCAGAGAAGCAGGAAAGTCGATGTTTCGGGTTTACACCCTTCATCAGGAATGACTGACATAGACAGTAACAGTTGAGAAGGAAGGTTTACATTTCCAGGAAGTGTGATCAGCAAAGTCCCAATTCAGCACATAAACTTCATTCATCTAATACAAGTGACCAACACGGAAAAAGTCCCTCAACTATTTGTAGGGGTTTACAGCATTTCCGAGACACTTCTGTGAATGGTAACTAGTTCATTATTATGGGATTCTTGCAATAAAATTGTGACTTCTATCTTCACACTTTCAACTAGGAGGAAAACCAAACAACATCACATAACAGTGTGATACAATTTCATTCACACATATTGACTGCTCTCACTTTTTCTTGCTGATTGATGATAACCTGTTACACAGCTACCAACACCATTACTTGGACTGGCTATTCAATTCACCCAAGTGTCATCAATTGAAATCAAATTAATCTAGTAAAAATAGACAAGTAAAAAAAATTCCAAATTACAAATAGAAGCGAAGAATCTGATCACTTTAAATCATAACCCCAAATATGCTGCACTAACAATGAGGCTATCAGAACTTGCTGTTATTTTTAGATAAAACTGATGGCAACTTCTAGCTTCCACAAATGTTCTTTAAAATAGAAATGTGGATGTTGCTGTCAATGATAATGATATCTCCACAGAAAATCACTGCTAAAGCAACAGCTTAACTAAATATTATTACGCCAAACATAAGAACTAGGAGTAGGAATAGGCAATTCAGCCCCTCAAGCCTGCTATGCCATTCAATATGTTTACAGCTAATCTCACCTCAGCCCCAAATCATCTTCCCTGCCCACTCTCCATAATCCTTCAACCCAACAGTAATTAAAAATCTGCCTAACTCCTCCTTAGATGTATTCAATGGCATCCACTGCACTCTGGAGTAACCAATTTCACAGATTCATGACCCTCGACACAGGAATTTCCTCCTCATCTCTCTTTTAAATCTGCCACCCTTAACCTAAAATTTTGACCTCTCATTCTAGTTTGCCCTGCAAGGAAAACATTCATTCCATGTCTGCTTGGTCAATGCTCTTTCGCACTTTATATACCTCAATTAGATCTCCACTCAATCTTCTAAACTCTAGTGAGAATAGGTCTAAACTGCTCAATCTCTCCTCATATGTAAAGTCTTTAATTTATGGCATTAATCTAGTAACCTTCTCTGAACTGTCTCCAATGCAAATACATCCTTCCTCAATTAAGGGGGCCAAATCTGTACAAAATACTCCAAACGTAATCACACCAATGCTTTGTACAGTTGCAACAATGCTCCAATCCTTTGGCAATAAAGGCCAAAATTCCATTTGCCCTCCTTATTACCTGCTGTATTTGTACCCTAGCCATTTGCAATTCATGCATGTGGAGGACCAATGAAAATATTAAGCCTTGTTCAAAGAGGAATAACTGAGATGTTCACAGCAAACTCTAAGGCATATTTACTTATGAACAACATTTTTGTCTCTGAAAAATTAACTATAAAAATGTGGATTTTCATTCCAATAGGAAAAAATTAATCATCCAGATCTTTCTTTACAAAATTAGCCATGAATACAAGTTCACCCCTTAATCCTATGTGTGTGTGTCCCAAACCTTATTTGATTTTCTGTGCAATGATTTAAGTGTATTTTATATTTCCTGCCTTTGACTTTTCTATTTGGTCATCTGTGAGAATTCTACAGTCTGATTCATTAATCCTGCTGCTTGCCCTGTACACAGATTCTACAGGTTCCCTGTTGAGGGCACCAAACTCAAAATAACACTGGAAAGGAGCAACTTTGCACACTTCAGCCTACGACAACCCAGCAGGCTGCCTCCTCAACGTGAGCAGTGAGCAATATGCTTCCACTACTAGCACTAAAATCTGAGTCAATGGTGTCAACAATGCAAGATAGTCTCATATTTCACAATGAGCCACAGGATGTGTCAAATGTGTTAGTGAATGCAACTCCTTTGAGATTCCTGTAACCAGTGATCACTTTAGGATTTTTAAAATCCATCAAAGAGAGAAGAATTTCTAAGATTTTTCTTTTGCCAGAAGCTTACCTTTTTAAATTGTGAATGGATAATACATAGGTTCAAACTTGAAATGAACACAATCAATACCATACCCTCCGTCCTCTTATTCCTTTAGGTCCTCTTCTGCCATTGATGCCAAGGAAACCATCTACTCCCTAAAGTTTCGGAACACAATGTACACAGGTAACTGTTCATGGCTTTTAGTGAAAAACAATCATGGAAATTTGGACATATTTTTACAAATTTAGCCAATACCTGCACACCAGGATAACCAGGGGGTCCCTGTACTCCCTTCAATCATAAAAAGAGAGGAGAAATCATTGTTCAGATGTTGGCAATGTAGACATCACAACATTGCTTCTGCTTAAAGTTGAAGTGTTTTCTTAAAAAGGGAAACCATTTATTTGGCACTTATAACACAGTTACATCTCAAGGTACTTCACAAAATTTGACTCTGAATTATGAGGAGATAGGAAGTCAGGTAATCAAAAGCTTGATGAAAAGATCTTAAAGATATGGACAAGCACGTGCCTAAGTTTTAGGCTCCAATCTCTGCATAGGGAGGACCAAAAACAAAAATAAACTTTCCACTTACTGTGAGAGTAGTACAGTCGTGAATACATGCAATTATTGAATTTTATTCATCACCTTTTGTCCTTTTGATCCAAGCCTTCCATTGTTATCATACCCATCCAAACCCTGTGTGATGTCAAACAGAATACGCATACATCATCATCTTTAAACTTCTCAGTGTCTCAGACGGCAAGAGACTAAATGATAATAAATTAATTTGTACAATGTTTTGGTAACGCACATTACTGAGGATCTATAACTTGAGGAGTTAGCTCATCGTATACAGAAAGCAACAAAACATGTCAAACTTCATATTCCAGGTCATGCTCAAAAGCCTGGATGGAAAGTCAAGACCACTGAAACTGAATGCATTGAGCTGTTTTCAGATTCCCCTTCCAGGCTCAAGTTAAGTATAATCTCACACTGAGTGCAGTCTTCACAATTGTACCACTTCCATTACGCTAATCACACTCACAGACATACAGATACACAAACACTAGCTGACAGGTAACTGTCTTTCTAGCTTTTCTAGGTCTCTGTCTTTTCTATTTCATAAAGTGAGATTGCCAATCCATCTGAAGAATTTTAAGATGATGTGAAAATTCACTGAGGATAACAATTTTGGCTTTGTGGAGTAATATAAAATGGAGAATAGCAGAGAGGGTTGGGCTAGGAGGCATGAAGGCTGGTAAAATGGCATGGAAAGGGGTCAGCTAACATGCCAGACTCATTCCTGGGCCATTCTATTTTGTCAGTTCCAAGTAAGGTGGTGGGTTACTGTAGGAGCCCAGATGAGTCAGGTAGATGGCCACTTCTACTCACCTCCACCAATTTTTACAGCAACAAGGGGTGTGTCCATGTGGCAATACCACCAGGTAAACTCTGACAGCTTCCTAGGCTTCAGCAACAGGTGGGGTCCTTTTTGGCTAGTCTTGAGCCAATGGAACTGCACCCCAGCAAGCAAGGACATCCTCATAGTGTCACCATTATCTCCCTTTGGCAATCACCCCTTCCCTTTCATCAAGGCAACCTGAATGCCCCCAGAGTCCTGCGATCCCACTTACAGACTCCTGTCTATTGATGTGCCCTCTTCAACCAGTTCATGCAGCCACAGTACAGACTACCATGAACAGTGAGGTTGCTGAACTGCTGGACATCAGTGACACTTCTTGACAGCTGAACACACTCCTTAGTTTACTAGCACCGATAAAAATACAGCCCAGACAGCAGGGCCCCTACCATTTCCAAATAATCCTGATGAGATCTCTGAGATTTAAGTCAGTGAGATCCCTGAGGCACGTGAATATTACTCCAACTCAGGAATCCTCCTTTCAAGTTCCCTGCCTATAGACAGGTCCAACCTGCATCATCACAATCTCCACCATAGACAGGACAAGGAGGAAGATCCCCAATCTACCACAGATGGAACAGGGGTCAAACACCTTGCTGTTGGCTCCAATATAAATCTGAACTGACCCTCCCCAAACAGTCCATATGCATTATAGATGGAGATTGATGCCAGGGGCTCCAACTTACATTACATGTATGAGCTTTGTACAATTTCAAAATGTGTTATAAGTATGAATTCAGTCAACGTAATTTAGGAACCTTTTCCACAGTAACCACCTGCCACATGCTGAAATGATTTACAAATTTACACTTGTCTTCGTTGGCGATGAATCCCTGTGGTGGGACCTGAACTCAGAATTCTGCCCCAGATAACCAGGGTATTTCCCAACGTGCTAAAACCTCCAAAAGAACAATACCATGTTTTGAACACAGTACATTCAGATATAAGCACAGTCCTAATTTGAGGTATAGCGTGAGGGCTTGTTCTTTATCCAGTGAAGTTATACTCAATATCTACAAACCCTTCCAACCGCTGCTTTTAGCTTAACCATTATTTGCTTGAGCTGTTCAATCTATTTATATTTGGCATTTCCCTCCCTGTAATCAATGACATTTTCTTACATTTGTCTCTTTTCTGTTACAGAAATAAAATGTAATTTTACAGATCATTATTTTCGTGTCTGAAGTTGTATTTGTTAAAACAAACAACCCCACACTACCTACCCAGTTTAATGCTTACTTCACAGCAGGTGTGTAGTAAGCTTCAGTGAGGCTGCTTAGGTAAAGTGAGGGTAAAGTGGAGTGCTTTCAGACCTCCTGTCTCAGTTCACAGCTATCGGGTGGGGTTTGGGTTTAAACTGGTGTCTACAGGTCTCACTGCAAATGCAGGAGGCCACACTGAATCATGCATTTAAGGATCTGGCTGAAGAAGCTATCATTTTTATAGCACATTACAAAATCCTTGAGAGAGTGAGCCTCATTGCCACTGAATGGGGAGGGCTCATGTTAGCGGATGAGCTGAGTACCTGCAGTCAAATGGTACTCGTCCAGCTATGTCTCTTTACTATTTACTGTCAATCTTCAGTGATGCTTTTCTTCAGTCATCAAATACTTTCTTAAATCTCTTTTCCACTAATGGGGTGTTGATAACTTAAAATCCAGTTGGAATTTCCTGAATATTCATAACTTAAAAGGAGTCTATTTTCGAAAGGAGCTCCTGTTTATTCATGTGTAGGTGACAACACTCGTTTTTTAAAAATTAGCTTCAATCAGTTGCACCACAGTTACTCACACAGCAATATGCAAACCATCTATAATCCACAACTGTGACTTGCTAGGGGTCACAAGTTAACAATGTCCCAGAATCATTCCAAACATCGAGCTAACAGCATTATAGAAATAGACCAGTCATTTCTCTTGGCAATTTCCTGGCAGTTATCAGACTCTCCTCGCGCCTCAAATATTTGTAAGTATTTGTATGTGTAAGCGATAGTTTGTTTGGATATAATTAAACTCCAATGTTCCTTGATATGCTACTGTACAGAGCCAAATTGCACTTGGAACGATGTATATATACAAAGATATTTTTATGAATAATTTATACTTGTGAAGTAAAAAAAAATTGCTAGTAGTCCAAAAATTGAAGTAGCACCCCATCATAGAATCACTGAATCCTTACAGTGCACAGAAGCCATTTGGCCCACTGAGTCTGCACTGACCCTCTGAAGACCATCCCACTCTGGCCCACCCATAACCCTGCATGGGGTTTTTTTAACCCCATAGCTAAGCCAACTCACCTGTAGATCCTTGGACACTATGGGACAATTTTTAACATGGGGCCAATCCACCTAACCTGCACATCTTTGCACAGTGAGAGGAAACCTGAGCACCTGAAGGTAACCCACGCAGACACAGGGAGAACACGCAAACTCATCTCTATTTATATATAATTTTGACTCTTTGCCCCATGTTCAATCAACGCTCTCTTTGTACAGCATCATTTTATCAAAATTTGAACCTCAGTTAACACAAATCTACTATTGATAAGAGACTGCCCTGTACCAACCTGTAGTCCACGAGGTCCAGCTATTCCAGGTTCTCCTTTCTCACCCGTGTCTCCAGTTACACCCTTCAGGCAATTTCAAAGTGACAATAAATGGTAAGTAAGAATAATCGTCGACATGACTTTTATTTGATATTGTTATTTAGTACTATTTATGCAATAAATAATTCAGATCCATGAACATTGCCAAACTAACTGAAGTTCCTTTAACAATTATAA